GGTGGGGAGCTGCTGCAAGGGGGGCGCCTCAGGACGGGGGGGTGGGGAGCTGCCGCAGGGCTCGGTGAGGGGGCGGAGTAGAGGTGAACTGGGGTGGGGAGCTGCCACACGGCTCCCTGGGCCAGGGGGTGGGGAGCTGCCATGGGCATGGCACCTCAGGGCGGAGGGGGGTGTGGAGCTGCCGCAGGGCTCGGGGAGGGCACAAGGTGGAAGTTTTGCCTAGGGCACGAAACATCCTTGCACCAGCCCTGCATACAGCCTCCAGCACCACCTCTGAAATTGTCTATAGATCAAAGCAGAGCTAGACAAAGAAATACCATAGAGTTGAGAGTAAGGCCTTCACAAACTCAGCCAATTATAGCCCCGGTCCTGCAAATACTTAAGCATGAGCTTACCTGTACCCATTTGGGGCCTAATCCTGTACACTGAAGTCAATAGGTGTCTTGCTATTGACTTCTGTGGGCACAGGATCAGGCCTCTGACTACTCGTGTGAGTAAAGTTAAACATTTGCAGCATGGGATCTATCTATGTTAGTTGTACACATAATGACTAGATAATTTATACTGGTTTATAGTAGGTTTAAAAATAATGATATTTATTAGAAACCTCTTTTTATAGCCTGCAGGGCTGTAAAACATAACACAGACATAGAAACAGCCCAGAATGTTGAGATACTTTGGTAACCCTGTTTGCTCTTTGCGGGTCAACCCCTTTTTGACAAAGATTTGCATGGCAGATACTTTGATTGATAGCACAAGGGTAAAAGAAATGGGAAGAAAACAAAGTGGCGAGCAAATAAAGGAAAAAAGTTAATATCAGTTAATCTACAGTATAAAAAATGTTAATGACTTGGGTGATAGTCAAAAATAAGTTATTCGTAAAAAGAACAAAGCAATGTTTCTACAAAATGCTGAGCTTTCATGCTCATGAGTGTTTCATCACAAGTGAAAACACATTTGTCAAATATAAAGAGAAATCATTTACTAAAAGGAGGAAAATACATGTTTATTTCATTGGTCTATTTTATAGATCTGTGCCCACTATTTTAGTATTAATACCAAAATCCCAATCCAAATCCCACTGAATTAATGGGAACATGTCTATTGAATTTGGTTAGAGTGGGATCAGACCCTAAATT